GCTCAACCACGTGGGAAAAGAGTGACTGCGGAGAGGCTCAACCGCCTAACGGTTGACTAACAGGCTGGGTCATTGACAAAAGTACAGAACCGGCCGGTCTGAAACCGAGGAATAGGTGGTGTCGACGGGTGGAGACGAGGGTAACGGTCTAACGGACGCAGAAGAAGGAGACTAAACACTATAAGAAGACACCGACGGCATCGAATACGACATCGAGCGTTGTCAGTCTTCCCACGAGGAGAAAGGAGAGTGACTATCTCGGATCAGCCAACCAAGGGTTCCGGAGCTGCTCCCTCAAGTTATCTTCATGTTTCTCCGGTTTTTTTTTCCCTATCTTCTCATTTCACTGTCCTCTCTGAACTCTCGATCATCAGAGTCCACCCATGTGTCCCTGCAGCCTCTACTGCTGAATTTCCCTTCTATTTTCTCCCTTCTCTGTATCTCGAAATTGGGCAGGCATCAGAATGGTAAAAAAGCAAGAGGAACAGTCCAATCCCACCGTGTACCTGTCACCCACACGACTGAACTAGTCGGAACGAAACTATGAAATCTTCCTTCAGCGTCGCTTTGGTTGTTTCCACCTGTCACCTAGAGAAAGCTCAAACGCCGAAGATGGGAATGAGAATTCCCAAGACAGAAGCTCGAACGCTGAAGATGAAAGCTCCCCCTAGCACTGCTTCACTTGTCTCCGCCTGTCACCCCCGAAGATAACTTGAATGTCGGAGATGGGAACAGTCCGTGCAACCCACCCCTCTCTTGTGCCATTGGGCTCCACCTGTGCTCTTCTTCTTTCTCTCTCCTCACTTATCCTCGATAATAGGGCTTGATATAGGGACCCAACATCATCGGCCTATTGCCATTCTACCTTGGGACCCTTCATAAATTCGTCAATAAGTCCAAGATAATTTCTATTTTTATTCATTTTAATTATAACTTCACAAGCTCTTTCCTACCGATTGCAAAATACTCCTAAGGTTATACCTTGGATAATCATATTAGAATATAGGTAAGAAAAATCAATTGAAAATATACACATTTAGAAAAAGTTCCTAAAATGCATTCTAAAATATGTTTTAATGTTTTTCATTCAATGTTAACATTTGACATCAGTTAACCTGATATTTATCATCATTTTATCTTGATTATCATACAAGAATGACACGTTAATGGTGGCTTCGACCCCCAACAAGACAATGCAAAATTGTAAGGTTTTGAAAAAAAGGATGAGTTTCCATGAAATTTCATTCCTAATAATGAACTTAGGTAATTTATCAAACTTAATCAGATGATTTAAAAATAGATAAGTTGTCCTTTCTATAGTGTATGGATGAAAAAATTGTAGTGAAAAGTTTACACTTTGTTAATTAGTCTAAAACAGCCAAGATCACTATTTTTGCATCAGAGTTGGCACTCCCTCTATAAAAATATATACCTCCATCAATCCATATTGAATAATATGCAATGAATTGAACAGCCAAAAAGGAGTCGTGGCCTTGCATTTGACCTCTTGACTCATGTTTCACTCCGCCTAGTTCAAGATACTTTTTGTCACTTTCTAGTGAAATTTTCTTTTAGTTCTTTGAAAATTTCTTCAACTAAACCCCATGTGACCAATGAAAATATGATGGCTTCAACTAAATTAGGTGAATGATAAATTTCAAGTTAAAACTTTCAAATATTTACCCAAGAAAATATATCAATGCATTTCTCTTGAAAATAAGTAGAGTATTGAACCTAATATTTCTTACTACGTATTTTTTCAACCTCCCACTTAATTTATTCAAAATCATAGCATTATAATGATTAACTTTCAACATCTAACTATGAATGATTCTGATAAATGGTGAATGATAGTATTTAATTTTCTCTTCTTGAAAGTGTAATGCTACTTTACTAAATGAGTGCATGCTTTTGACTCAATCACAAGGTCAAACCTCTTTATTGTGGAAGGCCATCTTTGTTGAGAATGCTCGTTAAATTTTTCTCTTATCTAATACTAGAAACCTTGATGGCATATTACTAAAAAGTAAAAGTACCCAAAAATAGTAGTTATTTCTTTGTTTTTTTTGTTAAGACTACAATATTCTATAGCAAGCTGTTTTGAAAAGCTTAATAAACATAACACATGAGACCATATATTTACTTATTTCATATTATCAAATGAATTTTTATCTTATTCACCACATATAAAGGCATTTTTATTAAGTGGTCACTTTAGTGTGGCAATTTTAAGCAATAATATTAGATAAATCTTGAAAATAATGTTCTCCATTTAGTTAAACCCTCATAGTTTGTTAATTCAATACATGGCAATCAAAAAACTATCATCTAAAATTGTAACTAATAATGCTTGTGATGAAAATTGACAATCCTCATCCAACTGATTTACCATTGCAAACTTCTACTGAAGGATTATGCATAAGAGATTCTTGAAAAATGTGCACATTGATGAGCCATATTAGGCTTAGTCTTATCTTTCAAGCAAATGCCATAATCTAGAGTATAGATCATGTAGCTCATTAGAAACATTACCAAAATTGAGAGTTGTATTATACTAAACAACTAGTCATTCATCATTTATTATTTCAATTCTACATAATTATTTTATGTCAAGATCTCTTCTATATGCTACTCCTTTCTATGAACTCATATTATTCATCCCTTCTAAGTTTGATATTGCAGAACTTTGGATGAATCATGTGTCTTCATATGATCAAATAGCATAGTCAAGTTAAACGAATCTAGTATGATCCTTCAATTAATCATACTTATCCAATTGTCACCAACAAGTAAATCATCAACATAAAAACATCAAATTCTTCTTGTAATATTTAAACCAAGAGTAGATTTGGTGAGCAAATGCATACTGCATAACCTTTCAGTTGTTCATTATCAGCTAACAAAGTATATAACTTATTGAATTAGTTTTTCAGTTCTATTTTCTATTGGTTTTGGGAGCCTGGAATGTTTTGATAATAATAAAATATATATATGGTAATTTAGATGATAAATGTATGTTGCTCATTAAGTGTAATTTGTTATAAACTACATCAAATAATTAAAACATGAGAGATTCTGAAGGACAAAATAGTAATATCTTTAGATGATCAAAATATTTTAAATATAAGTTGATGTCATAGATATAGATATACAAAATATATTAAAATATAATTTAAATAAAAATAAGTTTCAACAAATCATTGATCAAAATTAACAGATTTCAATTTGTTATAATTTTTACAAGATTAAAAAATACTTGTGGAGTTCAAATTTGAAGAGTTGACCTGGCACAAAATGAATTGTTATCAAGTCATTAGTAAATGATCATCAGACAGTCCAATATGCTTCATATAAAAGGGGTCTTTCAACTCACATTAGTGTTTGAATGGAACAAAAGAAGAAAGTTAGAGACTTGGTTTCTATGTCCACTTTCTTACCTCGAGGAGTTCAAGTTAAAGATCTATATATTTGAGCAGATAAAGTAAAGTAGCTATGCCCAAGCCTTTATTGCCTCTAATCTACATCCTATGCTTCCTCAACTAAACATAATAAATCGAAGCAAATGAAGCCACATGTTAGATCTATAACAAAACCAAATTGTTCTGAATTCCATAATTAGCTTCACTGAAGCCACAGGTTACTTAAGACATGCACAGTTAGTGGTTAATCACTAGATCTATAGGATCCAGCACAGACTAACTTATTCATACATATTTGATAGTTGGTCGTTGGAACCTCAGGATCCAGCACATGAGGCTTACTGAACATGGTAGATTTAGTAGAGGTTTGCTGAAATAGTTGTATTTAGTGTATATCATGCATAACTTAGCCAAACCTAAAGACTTTATCTCTAGAGAGTATAGTCGGTAAGATTGATCAAAGCATTGTGAATTATCTGTTTTAAGTATAAATTATCCTCATCCAATAGCTATGAAATGAATAAAAATGACAAACAGCCAATTTAAGTATAAAGTTGGCACCACAAAGTACTGTAGCAAAATCAATAAAGGCCAAAACCATTATTCTTTGTAATAAATCTACTTTTCATAACAAGTAGAGTTGACTCTTCATATAACAACTGACATGATCTTGGGTTTTGGAACTCTTCCATTAGCATAACACTCTTGCATCATCAAGTAGAATAGCTTGTTATTTTAGCATAATTTACAACCTTAATGCTCATCACCCATGAAACGGACCACCTCTTCCCTCTTGCTTATTTTTTTTTCAATGTACTAAAAACGGAGGAAGGGTTGGGAAGAAATTCCATGCCGTTACCCATCTTCTTGGATTGCCTCTTAGTGTGAAGGATCCTTCTTTATTCGGCTGACTTAGCAATGTCAACGCTTACCTGAACGTAGTATATATAGAATTGTTGAACTCTCAACCCCTAGTTGGGTTCTTCCTGAAATCACTGGGAGTCAATGCCCCCTGCTTCCTCAAGCTGGCATACCAAAAGCTTAGAGTGGATTAACATCTCGGTAAAGATCCACGGCTGAACTGCCAAGATTCTGTTCTTCCGACTCTTCTGACGAATTCTGGCGGAAGGAAACGCACTAGACAGTGATGAACATGGCACACTAGATATTGCAAAGCAATCGGAAAAAGGATTCCGGAGAAGAGCAGAGTGGAGGGGTAACGTATAGATGATTTCAAGGGTGAGAGCGAGAGAGAGGCAAGCGATGAAGAACGGTGTAAGGGTGGGGCCCCAAGTGAACCCATAAGAAGCCCAACAGGTGAGGAGGGGAGGATAGAAGGGAAAGGAGGGGAATTATTAATTGGATAAATAAAAATGTCCAAATTCGATCAAAATTATTGATTATTTAAGAGATAAATACCACCAAGCTGGGGTGGCTGGCTGGCAGCCTGAGAGGAATCCACAACGGTAAAATCCCAAACGAAAGCAAAACCCTACCGCAGCTCTTCAATACCTGAACTGAATATTGGAATCAGGATTACGTAAAATCATGGAATGGGTGGGAGGTGATCACCGATCGAGCTCAGTGGAAGTCCGGCTTCTCTGGGTAGGTGCAGCCTGACCTCTGGATGATGACATTCGCCGCATAGCACCCGGCCCGCACACACTCCTCAATGGGCTTCTCCTGGATCAGCTGGGAGAGGAACCCACCAACAAAGGCATCCCCTAGAGCGAGAGAGAGAGAGAGAGAGAGAGAGAGAGAGAGAGAGAGTCGATAAGTGGCAGCGGCGCTGGCGGCAATTGAGAGCGGCTGGCTCTGGGGTTTCAAATGGCTTACCTGCACCGTTGGTGTCGACCAGCTTCTCTTTCGGCAGCAAGATCACTGGGAACAGACTCACCTGCTAGCACACACCATCTCGTTATTCAATTCAAAGATGAGCATCAGGCCCAATTAGAGATGATATGAGCTTATACATGTCTATACATGTCCAGAGAAGGAAAGGAGGGGGAAACGTGGATGATAATGAGGCAGCCACATGTCAAGGAAAAGTGAGCGGGCAATATTCTTCGGCGCTATAGACCCTATTGAAGCTCGGCCTTAGCCAGGATAGAGACTAACTCGGGCTTCTTTTTCTTTAAGAGCTTGCTTATGAAATAAATGTTTGGGCCGGGCTCAAGGCCCTGCACTTGTTTTGGTTTCTGTTCTTCTCCTAACTTGTGGTGTGAGCTAATCTATGTTCATGAAGTTGTTACTAGGCAGCTTTCAGTGGGCAGAATAAGGCAAAGAACCAACCTTTCCATCCTCAGCAACAACCACAGGGTCGGCACCTTGGGTGATGACAGCGATCCTCTTCCGGGTGCTGGAAACCTTCGGCAACTGTGAGATCTTCAATGCTATCTCGGGGACATCGTCGGTCTACAAATGGCAAACACAGGGCACACCCACGGTTAGAAGAAATGAAAGGCAGAAGAAGGCAGAGAGAGAGAGAGAGAGAGAGAGAGCAGGTTCGAGTTATACCTCCCATCCGTGAACCTTGGAGAAGGTCCTCGCTTCAGTCTCATTCCCAAAGAGGAAGTCCACGTAGCTGGGGTCCGAGAGATTGCATCTTAGGTATGTGCATCATGGATGAGCATGAGATGGAAGAGAAGGATTTCTTGCTTACGGCATGGCCTTCTCCTGAGCCTCCCGGAAGAACTCACAGATGAAGGGTGCGGAGAGATTCATTGAGAATACCTATAATAAGACCGTAAAGAGCGGTGAGCGGACCCACGAAGGGAGGAAGTTGGAGGACTGTCCAGGAGAACTCACTTTGTTGGTAGCAGCAGCATGTTCAGACACAAGCTGAATGGAGGCGGGAGACACCGTCAGAAAAAAACCAGCAATGTAGATGTATTTGGCCTTCTCAACTGTTGACCACGAAGGAGAAGTTTGAACAGGGGCAGAAGTGTCAGTGGCCGAAAGTATAGAAACAATAACCGTGGGAATTCTTTCAAGAGAACAGAAACGAGTATTAGGATTTTACAAAGATAATTAATTCAACACAATAATGCTTACATGACGAGTTAACAGTTGACAGGACAAGGCCATAGATATAAAAGGAAGTAAGACTCACGTAGAATAACAATATTATTTTCTATGAGCGTATATACTTGCAGACACAAACATAAGTATATGTACAGGGGGTAGGAGAGAGAGAGAGAGAGAGAGAGAGAGAGAGATGCTATAGACACAGAAGTTTGCATGCGATGATCCAGCTCAAACCGTCCAAATTATATGATAAAATGATCTTTGAGGAATCCAATTTTGAAATGATTCCAATCAAAGGTAATATATATATATATATAAGTACGATAAAAGGCAAAGCAAGATTCCTCACTCAATAATAACAGTTTTGATTGATAACATCAAAATAAGAGGAAACGGCAATACCTAGTGCCCAATTTTCTGGCTTTTCCAAGTGCTCAACTTTGTAGCAATTTGCTGCTGACAAATTTGCAATTAAAGATCTGTTCAAAAAGTGAACAGGTAAGAACATCAAATACCAAGGGTAGGCTTAGAAAATCATTTTAAACAAACTTAAAACAAAACCTAATACTTTATCTTCAATAATATAATGTCCTGCATCTTGCACGTCTAATTTTTTTAAGATAGAAGGCTATACAGCATGAATACAAAGCCTTAGATAAATGCAATAAATCATGGCAGGTTAAGCAATGAAACAAAGCCTCTCCTAGAATTTAGGAGCAAGGTGACTAATTGGCCGAGAGGGAGAAAATCCAGAATCTTGGAGTTTGAATATACGCATATGACCATTTTCGTCATTATGTCTTGCAAACAATATAGAACATCAAGTGTGATATAGTGCTTATTTACACAGTAAAGCGTCTATCTGCAGACAATACCAAATTGGAATTTGGATTCCAAATCGGAATCTGAGTTTGTATTTTATATTAAAAGTGATCAGGTGACGAATAAATGTCGTCTAACAGAAACCAAAAAAGTAAAAAAAGTTGATTCGTTAATTATAAATTTAGTACAATAATAACTGTTGATCAAAAAACACTAAATAGAAAACTATGAAACGGCATTCACACATGTACTATAAGAATCTGATTTTCATTTACGTTCTATGAAATAATTAGATCCGTGAATTAGTGATTTCCAATGCAATGAACACCAGGCATTAAGACAGCTTTAAAAGCCAATAAACTAAATGCCCAATCACATGAAAATGGAGGATCTGGGCAGCAAATTTATTCTTTGTCAGAACTCTTTTGACTTTTAATAAGGCACGGTAATGATGCATCTCATGAGAGGAAATGAGGGATATAAGACTTTCAGTCGTCCCTTATACTAGATTGAGCACGATTAATGTGAAATAAATGAAATATAGGATAGCCTCCAGAGAGAAGAAAAGAAGAAAATAAAATTTTGCAGGCATTTGTCCAATCTTACATTACACAAGTTATCTAATAAAACTGAAATATAGAATAAGAGTAGTAAGATGGAATAGTTTTCTGACCTTTCACCGCCAACAACGCAGACAGCACAAGTGCCTGTGGGAGCAGTTTCGTCCTCATCATACTGGACCTGATCGCCATTACCCCTAGCTTGATATTCTTTTTCCCATATAATTCAAGAAGAAATAAGAGTCTCTCAGCAGATGATTAGTCTTACATTGACACCAGCTGCATGGGAACTTTTCTTCATCACCTCCCCAAACTTGTCCTTTCCAACACAACCTATATAGCTTGTTGCACCAGGAATTTGAAGCATCCACTGCACAGGGAATCAGAGTGAAATTGCTTTTAACACCACAAGTTAATGGAAACACAAAGATTTTGAAACGGGAAGAATATCAAGACTTCACAGTACCTGTGCAACCCTAATTGAGTTTTGAGTTGCCCCTGAAATAGATAAATTCAAAATGAAAATTGAAAAACATCACAAGAATCAGCTACAATTAATTGACTGACTAAAATAATCAAGATGATTTACCGCCTGCAATGTACTCAACGTCATATTTTGTTGCCAATTCGTCATACCTAATAAATGTCATATGTCAGTGTACAGTTACTTGAGTACATATTTAAAGCCAGACAAAAATGATCACACAGGACTACACTCAATGCAGGAGGAATGAAATTGTCAATTCATAAAACTTCAATAGTTAATATATCAAGCAAAGAAAATTACATTTGACCATAAGCTTATTACTCAGATGAAAGCATACGACTGAATATTAAAAACCTTTATGACCACATTTAGCATCACATTTTGCCAAACTGATGAAACTTCTCCCGCGAATGGAGGAAAGAAAAGTAGTTTGAAATAGGAAATTAGTTAACGAAACATGTAAGCAATCAACTGGCTGAACTTTGACGTAGAAGAAAAATTCAACTAAAAAAAAATTGTCTTACATGGGCAGGTGCTTTTCCTCAGCAAGGATCGCATTGTTCAACTTTACATCATATCTGCCAGAGAATAAGGATGAACCAAGGCTTGTCAATAAAAATTACAAAATAGTAGTAGTCATTAACAGAATGATAAACCTTAAATTATAAAACCACTATACCTAAGAAGAAATAATTTTCGCACTCTCACCAAACAGCCAAAACAGAAGATAAGAACAATATGATGCTAAGTACAGCGCTCAGAAGAGAAACAGCAAAAAGGAAGAATCCCCAAAAGCCTTAAGTGAAAAGCATTTCAGCAACCCGACTTCCTGATTCAATTTTTCAATGTAAAGAAGGAACCAGGGATAATTGAAAAACTGAGATACGAAAAAAACCTATAGAGAACATCACCAAATACATGATTCCCGAAAAGTGGAGAATCTTGTTAGAGGAAAGATGTATAACAGAAGAGAAGCATTGCTGCCCGTGCATCCGGGTACCAACATAAGTTCATGCCAACAACTGAGAGCGCATACGACACTTTCAATAACGATTGCGCTGAAAAGTCCGGGAACCTTTATGACCACAATGATAAACCATCATCAAGATTCAAAAAGATGGATCAATCCAGATTTCCGGATCCCATCGCAGAAAACGATATGTTTAAAGACCTGATGTCTGCACTCCGCTCGTGAAGCAGGGGCTTACATTCTCATTAACTAAAGATCCAGACAGAAAATCGACCTTACTTCTCCGATAATGAGAGGACACTCGACGTCGCAGCATCGAATCCGTAACAAGTAATGGTATCGAACATCACACAAAATATTCATCGCGCTGCGAGTATAATGGATACCAGATCTAGGCATCTAGCATCCGAGATCTAACCACAAAGAGACATAAAAGAGACGAAAGATTCGGATCTAGCATTCGTTACCTCTCAAGGAACCCTTCATCCACGACCGCGGAGATGTCGAGCAGCGGGTTCCCCATGCCCAACAGGATCCCATCGTATGCCATGGAATCGGAAGACGAAGCACGTAGCACAGGAGGTAGCCGACAGAGAGAAAGAGAGATAGTGCAGTCCGTGGGGGTCCTGAGGGCGGGATTTCTCGGTGCAGCAGGATGTAACGAGGCAGACCATTATATAGGAAACTATAATGTCGATGCCTCATAATACTTACCAACGTCATAGTGCCCAAATCATAAGGACTATGCGTTGAAAGCCTTATGAAAACTATGCGAACGAGAGAGAAGCTAAAATTCCCAAACATTTTGTTTGCCGAGGCGGGGACTTTCTGTGGCAATAACTCCGCGATATCTTTGCTGAGGCGAGGACTGGTGGGGCCCGCTTTGTGAGTCATTCTCCATAAACTCGTTCTAAAGAGTGACTTTATGGGAGGAGTGGTGAGGAGACCTACTCTCTTCAACGCATAGCCTATTATCGACCATGGTTGGTGGGATAGGGACCCAGCTTCCCGGGGTCATAGTTACCATACCCCTTTGAAAGCATAAGCCTTACCTTAGCATAGGTGTTTCGCGGCATAGGTTGGAGGAGATATTTTCCAATTTGTCCCTCACCGACGTCGGCCCACATAGAAAAGCCCATTCACGCTGGCCATCTCTTGACTACCGTCAATCAAATATAGCAGCTTTAGAGAAACAAACTTTCCAAAAACTCTCTCTCTCTCTCTCTCTCTCTCTCTCTCTCTCTCTCTCTCTCTCTCTCTCTCTTTCCGCCCCTCATGAAGATATTAAAGTATCTTTTTAAATGTAAGAAAATGGATCTGATATAGTTCAAGGTAAATACATATAATTCAATAATTACATTTGTTTAGCATCTTGTAATTTATAGGAACTTTAGTTAATAAAACTTTAAGTTCATGCGGGTCGGCATGGGAGTAGCATAGCAAGGTGTTCAAAATGGCATGTTGGTTGTAAGTGGGTGCGTCAATTATGTGAGTAGGGAGGGCAGGCACTGAAGATGAGAGGGTGGGGGGGTCTAGATGAGATAAGGGTTAGCGGGTTGACTAGCAAGGAAAGAAAAGTCAAGTCAAGAGAGAGAGAGAGGTACTATCTTAGTGGCAAATCAATAAGATGGGGCAATGACAATGAGCTCCATAGGTTCAAGCTTGAACTCAGTCTAACCGAGTTGGATAACATAGAGATATGGCAACATATCTTAGCAATTTTGGGCCAATAATAGGCCCAATAATAGACTAGTGTCGATTCCTCTCTTGAGGATGACTTTTGGCCCTTAATAAAGGACAAATGTGTAGTTGTTTTTAAATAAAGTGGATATAAAAATTATTTATAGCATACATTTCAGTTTCTTATTTATGGCTTCTTCTTAGTGGAAGAAAAAAAAATTCACATGGCATTTAGAGTATTTGAGCAAGTGCAATAACCATTTTTAAAAAAAATTATGCACAATGATTACCCAAATGATTATGAAACTGGATGTTCAATTAAATTTTTTTCGTTCATAAAGATGGCAGCATTAAATTTTGCATTATATGTACCTGGGTCTCTGAATAAAGCAACCAAAAGGAAATTGAAAAGATTTTCCTTAGCTACATGCCCTATTATTGGAAAATTTTATCATTTCCCTGTTCAATATTGCACAACATATTTTTTTAATATTTTGGACTCATATATGGCAATTTAAATACTATTTACAAATCCACCAATGAATAAGCTAGATTCTTTCACTCATCAATGTCTCCTCTGCCATTAATACATTCAATAATGTCAGAATAGCGATACATTCTACATAAATAAATAAGAAGTTTATTTTTAGAAAAAATAGATGGGCCTACCGTAATCATAGCTGATAATAGGCTTTGAGTTGAATCTTTCGAAGATGATGATCTTATTCACAGTTATTAAACAATGCCTTAATGCGTTGATCAGGCTTAGATTTGTCAATTGAGGAGAGAAGTTCAATTCTTTTTTGGTATATCCTGAGAATTTTTTCTCTTCTTGATCATATCGTGTCAAATGACGATTTTTCAAACATTCACACTTGCACACCTTGGAAACAGAGTACACATGGAGAGAGAGCAATGGAGGAAGAGAGAGAGAGAGTGTGAGATGTGGAGAGGATGGGTGAGTTATTGATCTCCCCTGCACCGTCTGATAGAAGCATCTAGCAGATGGGCACGGGGGATCCATTCCAGCCACTCAAGCAGGCGAACAGCGGGTCGATCACCTTCCCCTGAGAGATCGCCGTGAACACCTTGTCGAACTCCTCCCCCGGCGACTGGACCTTCTCGCCGGTGAGCATGGCGGTGCCGAGCTCCTCGCGGACGAACTTGTAGAGCGGGTATGACCGGCAGTCCTCTATTCTATTGGGGATCGCCGGGGATCCCTTCTCAACGGCTTCCCTAGCCGCCTCCACCTCCTTGGGCAGCGCCATCTTAAGCTCCTCCTCGAAGGCGGTGACCTTCTGGAAGATGGAGGTGGCGCTGTCCTTCTCCTTCTCGCCGTTGGCTATTGCGTGCTCGACCAGCACCTGGCGCAGCTTCTGCATCAGCGGGTACGTGGAGCTGCACGGGTCGTCGGCGTAGGCGAAGACGTACTCCCTGTCAACCACCTTGAGGAGGTCCTTCTCGCAGAACCGCGAGGGGTGGAGCTCCCCGTTGACCCCCATGGTGAGCACTCGCTTCGCCACCTGACTGACGGTGTTCTTCACGGCCGCCTTCATGTTCTCCTCCAGGTGGCGGAGGTCAACGGCCTGGCAGAGCGCCACGAGGTAGGTGGAGGTCATTAGCTTGAGGATCTCCACCGCCTCTGCGGTCTTCCTCGCGGAGATCAGGCCAAGAGAGTTGACGTCCTGGTTGTGCTGCTCCGCGCTCTGGACGTGGTTGGTGACGGGGTTGCCGAGGAACTGGATCTCCGAGCAGTAGGCGGCCATGGCGATCTCTGCGCCCTTGAAGCCGTAGTCCAGGCTAGGGTTCCGACCCCCGGAGAGGTTTGAGGGGAGGCCGTTGTTATAGAAGTCGTTGACCAGCTCTGAGAGCTGCGCGAACATGAGCTTGCCGATAGCGGCGAGGGCCAGGCGGGCGTTGTCCATGGACACCCCGATGGGAGTGCCCTGGAAGTTGCCGCCGTGGAGAGCCTTGTTGCGCGACACGTCGACGAGGGGGTTGTCATTGACCGAGTTGATCTCCCTTTCGATGGACTTGGTGGCGTGGCGGAGAACCTCCACCTGCGGACCGAGCCACTGTGGGGAGGTGCGGAGGGCGTAGCGGTCCTGCTTGGGCTTCTGCAGAGGGTCAAGCTCGTGAATCTTCTTCGCCATCTTCATGTAGGAGCTACCCTCGAGGATGTGTTCCATGATGGCGGCGGCCTCTATCTGCCCCGGGTGGTGCTTCAGCTTGTGGGTGAGGTGGTCGGTGAACTCAGGTTTCCCCTGCATCACCTCGCAGAAGACTGCGGAGAGAACCTCCGCCATGACCGCGAGAATATTGGCCTCGAAGAGCACTACAGAGGCCAGGCCGGAGCCTACGGCGGTGCCGTTGACCAGGGCCAACCCTTCCTTGGGCTGCAGCTCGAAGAAGCCCCCGGAGATGCCCGCCTGCTGGAAGGCCTCCTGGGCGGAGACCTTCTCCCCGGCGGCGTTGACCGCCCTGGCGTTGGGTCTTCCGGTCAGCATTCCGGCGATGTAGGAGAGGGGGACGAGGTCGCCGGAGGCGGTGATGGTGCCGCGCAGGGGGAGGCACGGGGTGACGTGGTGGTTGATCAGCGCGGTGATGGCTTCCATGATCTCGAAACGGATCCCCGAGTAGCCCTGCAGGAGGGTGTTGATCCGGACCAGCATGGCGGCGCGCGTCGCCGACTGAGGCAGCGTCGTGTTGGCCGAGTCATCGCCGGAGCCGAATATTCCGGCGTTCAGGAACCTGCAGCAAGGACAAGCAAAAAGATCAGTAAACGTCCACATGATCTAACCCCCAACCACTATAAAAGTCGTAGTAGTCACTGATGGAGATAATAAACGCCTTCTTTCTTCCTTCCCTCAGAGGAGATGGGCACGTGGGTTCTGGTCGGGAAGGAGTCGGTGGCTCACCTGATGAGCTCCCTCTGGAGAGCGCCGCCCTGCTTGGTGCGCCGGTGGGAGGTAGCGCCGAAGCCGGTGGTGACGCCGTAGCTGTCGGTGCCCTTGTTCATGCTATCCATGACCCAGTCGCTGCTGGCCTTCACGCGCTCCCTCGCGGACTCGGCGAGTTCCACCCTGAGAGTCCCACGGCCGGAGGCGACGGCGGCGACCTGAGAGATCTTCAGATCGGCGCCCTCGAGCCGCACCAGTGGCCGCCGGAAATCTTCCACCATGCGCTTCACCTCGTCGAGGTGGCTCCCTTTGAGCGAGTCGGCGGCGGCGCCCCAGTTAAGGGGGTCGCCGGAGACGGGGGCCACGGCCGGGGCGGCGGCGGCGGCCGGCTTTAGGCAGAAGGCCTCGAGCTTCATGTTGCCGTTGCCGTTGCAGTGGACTTGGGTAGCTGCTTCCATGGTGGCGAGCTCGAGACCTCTCAAGGATGGAGAAGATCCAGGAGAAGCAATGCCGATAGCTTTGCTGTCTCTCTTTCTCTCTCTCTACGTACTATGCTTTTATTCTCCTGATAGGAGGAAATTCGGGTCAGAGCTCGAATTTTCCTGAGCTTGCCTCGCAGCCAGCGTGTTGCTTAAATAGAAGAGAGAGAGAGAGAGAGAGAGAGAGAGAGAGAGAGAAGAGAGACCGTAGGTGTGGATTTGTCATGGGGAGAAGAGGAGATGGGGTAGGTGGTGCAAACGAGTGAATAAACGGGTGTTAGTTGTGGGGCTATCATGGCCGTCCGATCCTCGTGTCATCCAACGGCCGTCTTGGGCGTTGACCGAGACAATTCTATGCTGTACACAAAAATGGTTTCTCGGGCAAAACGTAATTCAATGGCCCCCCTCCCAATCACATATGCCTAAAATAAAATTTTAAGAGACATAATAATTTTGTATATTTAAATAAGCACAAAAAACTGATGTGCTCTCATCTAATGATGATGATGCATCTAATGATATGAAAATAATAAATTTTATTTTGTATTAAAATATCATAATTATATTACCGAATTCCTAATTTATGGGCTATAATGTGACATCACTTTGTTGAGTCTAATGGCATGGCGTTCATACCTCTACATTCCTAAACCTCATATGAATAATTAATTTGTTGTATATAATACCTACAAAATACAACAGACTCCATGCTATCATCATAAATAATCTCCAAGATGTGATGAGCAAGTATTCATGGGATCCAGGTTGCAATTATTTGATGACCCAAAAAAAGAAAATCCAATTAGGTTATTCAGGGTGGTCATAGATTTATCCCATTTTCTATGACATTATTTACATGAGCTAAGTTTTATAAAGTTAAAGGTGAATGTTCAATTGTCTTTAGCGTATCTAGAAATAATTAATTCGATATCGTGTGTAAATCAATTCCTAATTGTCGTCATCATCGAACAAAATTAAACTTTCTTTTTGTTCTTTCTTTTAGTGTAGTGATTTTTTTTTATCATTAGGATAACTTAGATGATTTATAGGGGTATAGTATAAATGCTTAAATCAATACATCAAAATTTTTAATAATTATAATTAATAACATAGTCTCCAATATAATTATATGAAAAAATAATTTAAATTGATATTTACAACAATGCCTTTAAGAAAATGAAAGAGAATTGATATCGATGGAAAAAAATAGATTTGACATTTTAAAAAATATATTATAATACTTTACCATTTACCAACGTAAAAATAGATGATTCCAACATGTCTTATTCTAGAAAATTACAGTAAAATAATATGGTGCCCTTCATTACATATAATTATAGCAATTTTGGGTCTCCCACATTGATTGGTGGCATTATCACCATAAATTAATTAGTAATCTAGAATAAACTATGTGGGCTCATGTCGGTACAATACATTCCCTCCCATTAATTCGTCATAATTCGAAATTCTTACCATTTTTTCAAAATGAAACCACATGCCCACCTCACTGGTTTGAATGTGAAAACCTGCCTATTTAAGCACATGCGCCTTGTATCACACACGCTGAACGGGAACTGTGCGCCTTGTTAACGATTTATTTGTAAAGCATAAAATACAATAAATCTCGCCTCTTCCAAGGGGGCAAAGTGAAGAGAGCAAAATAAAACAATGAACTTTTGACTCAAAATCCAAGGTAGGGAGTTGGTATCGCCAACAAGGATTGTTGCAGAGTTGACATGTCTCCTTGGGCCCACCTCAAAGTTCACCATGGAAAATTTGACACGAGGAAGGTGCATAAAACAATTAATATTAGTGAAGAATGTATAATAATATAAAATAAAACTATTTCAACTTGGAAGTGAAACTTCTGTAAGGATTATTTGAATATGTTAGAATTACTTTTTTAATGGACGAAAAATGATTGTTCGTTGAAACATAGGAGCGAATTGCCTACACCTACCCACTTACAGAGATGAGACAGAGGTGGTCTAACTTGGTTGCGTGCCCTATACTTCTTCGACCAGACAAAGACCATGGTCGGTGAGGAAAATGAGGCAGAGGAGCTGCAGTCTTAGCTCCGGGGGATCCAACCCTCCCGCGCCTACGGTCGCCCCCATTCCCTCCCCCCTCTTACCATCGGATCTCGTGCCCCGAATCTTTTAATGCTTGGGTGGGTCGAGTACTCTCCGTTTCCTTCCGACATCAACACCATCGAGAGAGAGGGAAAGAGAGAGGGATAATGGTAAGTTACCTACCGCTTACACTTACACTGGTGGATTGTGAAACCCTGCATCCACTAAGAGATCACAGATCTACCGAGAGAGAGAGAGACACGTGAAAAAGCTGGGAAAGAACCAGATGGCCGTTAGCTGACCACAAGCCTCACCAACCATGGTGGCGGGCTCCGCCACTTCGTTAATGGGGCCTCCTCCTCCGTCTCCCACCAATCTGGCTGCGTGCGGTTACGTGGGGACGAGCGAGCAAAGTTTGTGGGCGAGGGTCGCCGATGACCCTCAACGTGAAGAGGCCGTCGGCCCCAGGCGTGGTAGGTGCACTCAGAAGCCAGGAGCAAGACACGATGGCGTCAGTGCTGGCAGCTCGTGGCCCCCCGTACGCCCACGGAATGCCCCGCCGGCTACAAGCTTGTGGGTGGCGCCGCCCGCCGAGCTGGCCGTTGTCTTGAACGGCGGGGAGGCAGTCCACGGCGGGACGGTGCCGGCGCCGTGCCCAATGGAATACTCCGCGGCCAGGTGTCGGCCATAAATGCCGATAGCGGGTAACGAGTCCTAGACGCCGATTGGCCAATGCCACGTGGGCGTGAGTAAGAGTGTCCTGTCTCTCTCAGTCAAATGCCCAACCAACCGAAGGCCTCGTCTTTGTGGACCCCCGAACGGAATGTCTCCCCCGCCGCCCGTTGACTCGGACTAAGTTGATATTTAGTCCGATTATCAATCCACTTAGGAGATTTTAGAACGTGAGTCTTCTATCTGGGTTTGGACCAGGTCTAGAGAACGAGAGAGCCTTCTCTCCCTTAAAGATTTGGCAGTCAGACTTTCTAAAAAAAAATTATACTATATTGAATCATATAACACCTTACATAATATGAACCAAACTATGATGAGTACATAGTACCATCACCTTATCCTATTGATATTCTTCGTCATAGGCGATGAACAATCATCAACCCTAAAAATCAAGCCCAATGTTTCGTAGTGATAATCATTACAGACGATTATACTATTAAGATAAATAGATGTGATCACCCCACCTACTTTGTTCCGGCCATGAATTAATGCTGACATTTTGCACCACATGTCGCACCTAACTTTATTAGTTACCCATTGATGTGAATACTATTTTGAGAAATAAGTCCCATTAATCTATTACAAGGGTTTAAATAATTTATATGATCATGGATTGCTGCTATAAGTTCCTCTCCTTCTGCAAAGGTTTTATAATTATCTACGTCCTTCACCCCATTTTTATTTGCTGATTATCCACAAAGGAAAATGAGAAATTATCAAAGCAAATAATTTGCCTTGATGTTAACCCATTTTTCTTTGACCTCAAATTATATCGGTCCCCATTTCTATGCTGACAATTGCATTATTTACATGACCACGTGTCTTTTTTTTTACCGCCGTTCTGCCAACCATACAGTTCTTATTGGTAAGACCATTCATCTGGTGGTGCTAATGGACAAGGCAAGTTCTGAGTCCAACTTAACTCGGTGACCCTTCGGTCTCACTTTTCTCCGTTCCAAGGTTGCCTGTCCACGAGGCTCGAAGCTGACTTCTCTCTCTCTCTCTTTCCCTCCACCCTCCCTACCCTTGCCTGAGTCGGATTCACTGTGGCTGGACTTCCTAGGGTTTTTAATCCGAGCATGTTTACTGGACATTTTCTCTCCGTACCAAGGCCGTCGGAGGCGCCAGATTGACCGTCTTTCGTTGTTTTCCATGGTCGTCGGGCGTACCCGTCCTCTTAGACCATGGACGTATCGTTCGGCACGTTTACTTTTCACCCTCCGTGGACGACGCATTCCCCGCTGGGTCCGACCGATGGCCGTCGAGGATGACCACGGAGCTCCGCCTCAGAAGGCAGCGCCCGCGGGTTTTGGTAGAAACCACGGATGAGCTCACTTAGCGAAGTCAAGTCCTCCTCGCCGTTCTGATTCCGGTCTCCGGCGATCGGGGTTTGGTGGCACGCTGGCCTCGTGGAGAAGTCCTTCCCCGTTTGGTGGCGGGCTGAGCAGGTAGGTAGAGAGAGAGAGAGAGATGGTCACACGCTCTGTCTGCCGCTCTCTCCCGTCCGACGGGGAGTCTTACGACGGTCCGCTTGCACGCGCTGCCCACCCGTCCGTCCGAGACCAGCAATTCCGAGCCCTGACTCTCTCTCTCTCTCTCTCTCTCTCTCTCACTCTCTACCTTCCCCTTGCACGCTTCTCTCACCGGTCTTCCTCTCGTTCGTCCAAACTCCGAAGCATGATTAGCTTCAACACACTCTGCGATCACCGTCATGGTTTCAGCCCCCCGTTATAAAAGAATGGAAATACCAAGTAACCCCCGTGAAGAACTGCCAGTACGATACTACTAGACCTAATAATCGTGGATTTATATCCACGATTATAAAAAATCCTAATTATCGTCGATTATTTATTTATTTATTTTTGGAAAGTTTTGCAGGCTGGCTGTACCCAGTCAGCCCTAAATTAATATGGAATAAAATAAAATAAAATAAAATAAAATAAAATAAAAGAAATCATCATATATGTATATAATTAAATATCTTATGTGATTAAATAAACATATATGTAAATATGAAAGTCTTGCAGCCATATTATTCTCATGTGCTGATGAGACCAATCATACACTAACATAAGGAGAAGTGCAATGGTTTTTAAACCAAGTAGCTCAAAATCGATGTGTCAGGCAAGCAGGAAGTAGGTTGTAAAGGCAAAAGGACCCAAATTTGGCCCAAATATGGCCCAAAACCAGCTTAGGCCCAAACAAAGCATTTTATTTTCAGCGTTTCTTGGGGTTTGGCTTGCCTGGACCTGGGCCAAAATTAGCATTGCTGAGCCCAGCCCAATACGAGGCTTCGTCGTGGGGTAGGGTGGGGTGGGGTGTGGTGGGGTTTTTCGTCGCCGGGAAAACCCTCGCCGCCGCCGGCGAGAGCCGTCGCCAGTCGATGCTGCTTGTGCTTCGGCAGCAGCTGAAGTTCCGGAGCTTCTTGAGGAAATCTCGCAATTCCCCACGAGCCGGTGGCTCCACGCCGCCGCCCTTCTCCTCGGTCACCGCGGCGGCGGCGTACGACCTCTTCCGGGGCGTGTCAGGGTCGGAGGACGACCGACTTGCGGAAGAGGAGTTTCTCTCGTCGAGGCTCGGGGTCGTCGGCGCCGGCCAGCATGGGGCGTCTCCGCCGCCGCCGCTCTCTTCTCAGCCCGGTGAAGCTCCGGCGGAAGACGAGTCTGTACTGGACGGGGCGCGTGTGGGAGCGGCGATGGCTTGCTCCTCCTCCTCCCCCGGTGATCCGAGGCTCTCTCTTCTGTCGGAATGCTACGACCTGGCGAGATCAGGGCGGCGGAGGGAGTTGAAGAGGACGCTGCATCACCTGGTGCGCAGAGAAGGTAGGGCTCCTGCAAATTACTTCTCCTCGCCATCTCTTCACCTGACTATTCGGTCTGAAATCTCCCAGTTCGATCTGAACTTTCACTCTCAGGATATGGTTCAGCGGCTTCCCTGTGCAAATCACTTCTGGATTGCTTCGGGGGCAGGGACGGAGATGTTGATCTCGTGTGGGATTCTCTGGTTGAAGTCTACGCCCGACGTGAGATGCCCCGAGATGCGCTCTTCGTCTTCGATGAGATGAATCTTCGGAGCGTGAGTTCATCCGCCGACGCTTGCCAGAGCTTGATGCACAGTCTGAGGAACACCGACATGGTCTGGGATCTGTACGAGAAGATCCGCAGGCCGCAGGGGATTCTCAGCAGCAGCTGCATTCATGGCGCCCTTCTAGGCCATCTCTGCAGGCACGGCTGGATGAAGGAGGCCGTCTCTTTGTTCCAAGACAAGAGAGGGAGTGGAGAACTCCAGCCCTGCCTCACCGTCTTCAACGCCATGATAGCAGGGTCTTCTACCTTCGTTGCCAAATCGTTTCTCTCCCTGATGATCAGATCTGGGTTCCCCCCCGACGAGACCACCTACAATTCTCTCATCCAGAGGCTGTCTTTGGAGGGTTCTCTGGAGGAAGCTCTGGCCCTGTCGGCAGCCATGGAACAGGAGGGCATGGAGAACGGCGTGGCCACATTCAACGCCCTCATCTACGGCTTCTGTCTGCATCGGATGATGAACATGGTCTGGAAGGTCGTCAAGATGATGCTCACCAGAGGTCTCAGCCCGGGCTATCTCACATACAGGGCCCTGATGATCGGCCATTTCCAGAGCGGCAATGTAGAAGAAGGGCTGAAGCTCAAGGATGCCATCCTCGCCAGGGGATTCCAGATGAACATCATCACCTACAACATTCTCCTCCATTCCCTCTGTGAAGCGGGTCGACTGGACGAGGTAGAGAGGCTGCTGACTGAGATCCGCCGCCACGGCCTGGAGCTCGATCACGTCGCTTACTCCACCCTGATCCATGGTTTCTGCAAACTGGGGGAGACCCACAGGGCACTGGAGCTCTCCCGGGCAATGGCTACCAGAGGGATCGCCCCCAATTCATACAACCACTTGTCGGTGCTCCTGGCGCTGTGCGGCAAGAACCTGCTGCGGGAGGCCAGACAGTACCTGTGCCACCTCCGCCGAGAAGCCCGGCAGGTGGATGCCGTCCTGTACAATGCAGCAGTGGATGGGCATGCCAAGGCAGGGGACCTCAATGGAGCTCTCTTACTGTTGGGGGAGATGATGAAATCAGGCATATCTCCGACAGTCGTCACCTTCAATTCCCTCGTCCATGGGCTGTGCTGCTGTGGGAAACTTGCAGAGGGCAGGGCCCTGATGGCGGCCATGGTGCGCCAGGGGCTTGCTCCCAATGCAGTCTCCTACACGACTCTGCTGGATGCTTACTGCAGGGAAGGAGACGTCGGTGCCATGGTCGACCTCTTTGATGAGATGGTCGGCAGGGGGGTTGCACCCAACACTGTCACCTACAGCGTGATTATGAAGGGCTTCTGCAGGGCCGGGCAGCTCGGGAAGGCGGCGGCGGTGCTCAAGGACATGCATGCCAAGGGAATTCCTGCAGATCAGATCGCCTTCAACACGCTCATACAGGGCTTCTGTGAGGCGAGGGATGTGGGGATGGCCCTCCATCTGCACGACGAAATGCTCAAGCACGTTCGGCCCACCCCGGTGACCTACAACCTGCTGGTCAACGCCCTCTGTGTCTCCCATAATCTGTGCGCTGCGGAGACCCTTGTGGGGGATCTGCTGGAGAAGGGCGTCCGGCTGAGGAAGTTCGCCTTCACCGCCCTGATCAAGGCGCAGTGCGTGGTGGGCAGCCCTCAGAAGGCAGTGCTCCTCTTCCAGAACATGATTCAGGCTGGTTTTGATGCCTCGGTGGAGGATTACACGGCTGTGATCCACCGGCTATGCAAGCGGCGCCGCCTGAAAGATGCCAAGGTCTTTCTGAACATGATGTTGCGAGCTGGGGTTCATCCTGACCAGATGCTCTTTGATGTTGTGCATGAAGCTTTCAGCAGAGGAGATGATCGTCGGTCGATGCTAGCTTGGCAAGGGAAGATCCTTATGAGTGGTTTGCCGTCCAAATAGGGATCCAATGGCTGCCCTCTTTCACAGTCCATCTGCTCTATGGTTCTCTCCAGGTAAACTCCTCCTCGAGGGCCACCACCTATTGCCCCACCCCGTGGCCAAAACCCTAATCTCTGTCTCCTCTCCTGCAGCGGTGGTCCTCCCTGTGTTCCAAAACCCTAATCTTGTGGAGCAGCTCACCTCCCTCCTTTCTCGGAGAAAAAGTTCAGCTCCCAGACAAGGAAGGTGACAAAATTTATATCAGTGCATTCGGGTCAGTAACAAAAGTTATGCTCTTCTTTTATTTTGTTTGAAGGAGACAAGCTACATCAATCTTCTTTTATTAGGCGTATTATTCCAACGAAATGCCTGAACTTTTGGCATAATATTTAGCATTTTCTAGGTAAATGAAATGGCTCGGTCAGGCAACATGGTCCTAAGTTTAGAGTGTCAGATTATAGGGTCATCCCTATATTGATGCATTTGTGATAGTTCAAAGGATCCAAAAGATCGAATTTATTTATTCCCCCTATAATCTGTGGACGAAGATCTGAAGATCACCGGGGGCCACTAAAGTCATAAAAAACATGATGGTTTGGTGGGATATATTCTTGAATCCTGAGCTTGTTTCAGTCGAAGATTTAATCCATACAAAAATGAAAAAAAAACCCATTATTTTCCACTATTGCTTGCAACTCATGGAAGATCAATGAAATTTATTCTTCCCTCCCTTGGTGATATAATTGAGAATTGAAACGTCAAATTTCTGAGCAATGACTGAATTTGTTTCAGGTACTGACTGCAATGAAGACGCTGTAACTCCTAAGATGATCTCCTCTGTTCATCCTGCAACTGGCGTTCTCCCATAAAGATGCATCAATCTTTTGCTGCAGATGTATCTATTATATGGTGTCAATGTAAAGAGTGCAGCTGGATTATATTGTTTTTTTCAAAAATGCATAATCTATGAGTCGTATTTTTTCTGTCTAACAGGTGATGATGCCATTCCTGATATTCCTTCGCTCTGTTCAAAGGGCTCAAACTATGGAAGTGAGGCAGGTTCCTTGAACTAAGAAAGAAGTCTTCAACCTCAGCCGATTGAGCTCACTTTGGGCTAGAATCAGCTTTTCTCTAAATGACTCCCGTCTTCAACAATGATGCAGATTGGCTGGTTTAATTCATAATTAACTACGAATCCAAGATCCGCAGTCCTTCCCTGGGATGGCTAATCTCCTATTGCTTACCTTGATAAGGCTATCCTTTCTTAAGCAAACAGTTTTCCCAGTTTTAGAAAAAAAAATCCTCCAGTGAGGGTCATAAGCCTTCTTTGCACAGGGAGCTAGGGTTGACCCTGCCGAATTCAGACAAATTGACGACAAAAATCATAGTTGTTGGAATAACCGCAGTTTGTTCTTCTATTGAAGAATGCAAGGTTAACATAGCATGCCCTTTTATGTATCAGTGGGGGTTTTGAATTTTTTGCAGGCAATATGAATGGGTAGATGAAAAAGACCTCACTTACAATGTTCAGGTACTCAGCATTCCAATCTGAATCAAAGTCAGCTGTACAACCGCATGTTTATCCGTTTTCACTGACTAATATGGGTATAACAAGTGAGTTCTTCAAAACATAGCCATTATTTATTAGCGACCGATAGTGAAAGTTGATTGAGATAAGATAAAGATATCTCAAAATGCCCAAATCCGCTTTCTTCATTGATTATGACATAAACCCAATCTACCCTCCATCAGTTCATGCCAAGCTTCATAAAGAGCGTGGTGAGGATACTGAAGCAACGGGAAGCTTGCTCTTAATTTCAATTAGCTTCACATAAAAGGCTGAAACAGCAGAAATTTGTGGCAGCAGAGATGGGCATGGTGATACTACTCGGCTAGTTTTGATGATTTCAGCCTCTGTCGTCAATCTGAAACTTAATGGTCTTTTCGTTTTCTGCCTCTGAATTTATCGAGAATCAAATTCTTGATCTGTTAGAGTTAAAATGCTGGGTCTATCATATTTACTTGTTCCTAGCATTTTTCAGCGAATCTTTCTCAGTTTTACCATGATAATTGATTTTGGCGAAGAAAATCATTCATGACCATACATTGGAGGGTACATTTGAATAAACCAAAATCTCTTCAATTTGACAATATTCTCAAATTATAAACATTTTTATCACAGCAGTCAAGAACAAAAAGATAACCATTGGGGTTCAATGGAATGATTTTTCAATCAAATAGATGATTATCTCAACCGAACCGCAAATAACTGAGAGTGCAAATCTGCTGATATATTGAATAATATGTGGGAAGTACATGTCATCACGAGGATAGTAGAAAGAGTAATCAATTACCTCATTCGTTAACAAAACAAAAAAATGGAAGAACCCGTAGAATAAAACTGGCACCACTTCTGCAGGGAATTCCTTCCAGGTGGCCCGATTTTTTCTCTAAATATACAATAAAAGAGAGAGAGGAGAGCTCAGTAACACAAGTCGAAAGCTTGGAAGTTTCCTACCATCGGCGAAAATCTTGGCATTTTGACTAGGGTTTCTTTCGTTTCCCTTCTTGTGGTCTAGGGATTTTTCTGTACTCGTAGTGGTAGATATCGATTCTTTCTTGCAGCATCTGTGAAAACAGTCTTCGTTAGTGCACCCAATGATGGAACCGAATTAAACTAAAACAATGCAGCACCCACGAGCATCACAATAAAAGTACTACTTGGTAGTACCTTGAGCTCCTCTTCCAAAGAGAATTTCTTTGGCTTGTACCCTTCCATGGGTCCTGTTCTTGTCAAGGCTTTCGTAGTCTCAAGTAGCTCCCACTCGATATTGTCTTTCTCTTTCGTAACTTCCTTACTGATGCATGGATGAAAAACTCCATAAGGCCAGATAAATTGACGCAAAATATCACAGCAGAATGCAGGAAAAAATTCAATAAGGCCAGATAATGACGAAGATATATATATATCTGAATGGACACAAATGAAGTCAAAATACGAAAAATTAGCATCAGCAATCATTAACTGTCATAAAGTAGAACCTCAATCGAAGAAGGTAGATATAAGCGTCATAAAGTGCTTGCCTGCCTTTAATGAGATGAGCGAGGCCAACTGCTCCGAAGACCGTTAGTGAGACAAGTGGCAGACCATATCGAAGAAATGGGCTTTTTCTACTCCATCCACTAAATTTTGAAGCTGAATTCAGAATACTCTTAGGTGAAACCGATGGATTTGTTTTCTTCCTGGAATCTATTGCCGCATTGCTTGTCATTATTATGTTCCGCACAAATCTGCAAATTAGCAACCGGTTCCAGAGATCATGTGCAAGAAATTTTGACTTATGCATAGCTTTCAACAGCAAAAATATTCACGGACCTTCAGCTCAAAGAAAAAATTAAGTCTGAGCAAAATCAATATCTCAAGTGACTACTGACGCATGATGAAAACTTGGAAACAATAAAGACTTTCGGAATGAAAAATAAAGGAGATACATCCTGTCCGAGTATAAAGAGTTGGCTGATATGCCGAGAGTTTGCAAGATTGTAGTGGTACGGCAGGTTCTTTGGTAGAACTGGGGACAGAAAAGTGATGAAAAAGCCCAGAGGACCCACAAGGAAACGCCTAGATGAACAGAACTCTGAAAGAGTGAATATACGAATGACTCAAAGGCAAAACAAGCATGTTATGATAAGTGGGTCTTTTCTTTCCCTGCAGGAAGACCTCTAGGGGGGTATTCGTCTATGTTCTGTCAGTTTTGGGGATTGTCCCGTCGGGTGCCCTTGGGTATGAACCTGTTTGAATGCTAGGAATGAATAAATATAACTGTTCCTCTGATAAAGTAAGACGCAGGCAAGGTAGACATGAAATAGAAGAATTATGTGGAGAGAAAGCACATTGGTGTGATCGCCATTACTTAGAAATAATTTGGCAAAATTGATGGACACATAATATTTCAGTTCAAGAACAGAGGCCTCGATAATCCCAGAAAAGAAGAAAACAAACATGAAGGCGTGACCCTTCAATCTTTGGCTCAGGCGTCGGCAATTGCCGATCCACAGGAGTTTTGGGTGCTCTAATGCAAAGTTGAACAGAATCTTTGAGCCATAGACCTAACCAAATCAGTGATTTCTCCGCAACGCGTACCTGGAGGTCCTCACGATTCGGGCACGGGGAATTATGTCCACGATCCCCGCGACGACGGCGGATGGTGATGAGACAAAGAGGAGAGGGCGTGGATGGGGTATCCGCCGCCCGATCGATCAGTGGACGGAAAAGGATTGCTTCACGGCTGCCTAGTCGTGACCGGTCGGAGCCTTCCCCTAACAGCAACAGAGAGAGAGCAGAGAGCAGAGAGAGAGAGAGAGAGAGAGAGAGAGAGAGAGAGAAAGAGAGAGAGAGGTGCAGCTCGCCTGGGGTTTCTCTCCCGCAGAAAAACCACGACGATCAGAGGCGAAGAGAAGAGAAGAGAACCGGGTATACGACCTCTCACGACTGCGGATCCATCCCGTCGACGTGGCCGGTACAGATCCAGCTTCACGATCGTAATACTCTCGCCACACAAGGGGTAACTTCGTCTGTCCACAAAGAGAAAGAGCGCCAAGCTGCGCGGCACGTGTCCACACGAGCCACCGCCGTCGCCGGCAACCACGATGATGCCGCCGGCTAGGTGGCGCCGCTAAAACCCCTGCCATCATATCCTTCACAATTAATCAAATGCGTATGTACCCTTTTTAACAAATAAAAGTAACAAGAAAATATATTTATAACCCTTCGAGGCCCGATTTCTATTGGGCAGTCCAATCTTCGTCCGCCCCGTCATGGACGTCTTATCTGCGCCAGCGTGGTCGCCGTTATCCGACTTCACGTCGTTATCCCCAGGACACGCGTCTCCTTGTACCCGTAAACCCTGTATCTATCCTCCTCGTTGGCATCCTCGCCCATGATAGCCATCCTTGCTGGCCACCTCATCACCTCCGTCACAGAGAGAGAGAGAGAGAGAGAGAGACAGATCGAGATAGAAAGAGAGAGAGGAGCCTTCCAGGAACCCCGGAACGCAACTTTGGCACTTCCGCTTTTGCTTTCTCCGCATGGTGAAATCCAGATCCAGATGTAGAGAGAGAGACAGAGACAGAGAGTGAGAGAGAGAGAGAGCAAGCGTACCTTGCCAATAAAGACGACGTAGCCATTGCGGTGCTCGCCGGCCACCCTGGCCCCTCCGCCGTCGCCGGTCTATAAACCGGCTCGATTCAATGTACCGCCGGCGGCGCTGCTTTAGGAAGGAAAAGAGGAGATCACCATCCGCGATTCGCATCTATATCAAATACAGGATTATGTCAGTAATTCGGGAGTGAATGGAGAAGATCCAGCCTCCGCCGTTGACGGAGAGACGGCAAGTCCCCCCTGAAATCTGCATCTTCTCCTCCGAACTCTCCAATCGGCCGTGAATGGGATCCCCAGGGCAGAGATCGGACGGAATCTTTGAGGAATCGAGTAAAATAATGCTCACATGTGCTGAAATATCCTGCCAGGCCTCGTCACCTCGAGTCGTGATCTCCGTCGGCGGCGGAGGGGTGGTGAGAAGGAGAGTTGAAAAAGGAGACGACGACGGCGACGGTGGTGGTGGTGGCGGCGGCGGCGGCGGAAGCCTTCGGTTCCCGAAAATGCGGTCCGGTTCATTGGAGTAGATTGTTTTGATCGGAGCGGGAAACGGGGGATATACCGTTCCTCCCGAAGTTGTAGATCAACGGCTGAGATGATTTGCATGGTGAGACAGGTTAAGACGCGGGACACCGCATCGGGGGTAGCGCCTATATAGCACGGCCTGCGTGAGGCCAGGTAGAGGGTACGGAGGGCCGCGGAGTTCGCCGGATCATCGCTCGGGAAGAAGAATTCTCGACTTCCTTGCGACAGCAGGGCGGAGAGATGGCAGAGTCGAAGCAGTCGCCCATCGTGGTGATGACGAGCCCCAGGAAGCGGCACTCTGGAAGGGATGGCGAGGAGGATCGCGCCGACGGAGGCGAGAAGTTTGTGGTGGCGAAGAAGCGCCCCAGCGGCCCCGCTTGGTGGAGCGGCGATCCGGTTCAGGCGCTGGCAAGCGCGAGGCACGAGTTCGGGGAACACGGCGGAGTGAACATGTCGATCGAGGCGTCGGCGACGTTCACGGTGATGGAGCCGGACACGATGCGGCGTATGTTCTCCGGCGAGCTCGGGCCCGATCGCGATTTCTTCATCTACAGCCGGCACTTCAACCCCACCGTGCTCAACCTCGGGCGTCAGATGGCGGCCCTGGAGGGCACCGAGGCCGCGTACTGCACCGCCAGCGGCATGTCCGCAATCTCCTCCGTTTTGCTGCAGGTCTGCGGCACCGGAGGGCACATCGTGGCCTCCCGCCGGCTCTACGGCGGCACCTACGCGCTAATGTCGCACTTCCTGTCTAGGGCGTGCGGGATCCAGACCACCTTCGTCGAGATCGGGGATCTCGCGGCGGTGTCCGCGGCCATCAGGGAGGGGGAGACGAAGGTTCTGTACCTGGAGTCGGTGGCGAACCCGACGCTGGCTGTGGCGGACGTGCCGAGCCTGTGCGCGGTGGCGCACGAGAAGGGGGTGATGGTGGTGGTCGACAATACCTTCTCCCCCATGGTCATTTCCCCGGCGAGGATGGGCGCCGACGTCGTCGTCCACAGCGTCTCCAAGTTCATCAGCGGCGGCGCCGACGTCATCGCCGGTAAGCCCCACCACCTCCCTTCCCCCCTTCCTCCGCCCTAGGGATCTCCCTTCCAACATCTCCGGAGAAGATCCACCCGCCCTCCTCACCGGAACGTCGTCCCTGCCTCTTCTCGGGGAAGAAGATCCCAAGAAATGACAAAAATACGTGTTGCGCTCGCTGCGGTACGAAGCAGACACGTGGAGTCCGATGGTGCCGAAGGATAGAAAGACGTCACGTGCTGGTGGAGCCCATGGCCATGTCGTCTTCCTCACAAACCAAAAAAAGGGAAAGCACTCTCTGTAGGGGCATACATGTTAATACTTCTGCAATCCGAGGCGCTTTGCTATAAATGATCTGCTTCCCGTGATGGATCTCAGGGGCGATATGCGGCCCGGCAAGCCTGGTGAACTCGATGATGAGCCTGCAGAACGGAGCGCTGATGCTGCTGGGGCCGACGATGAACGCGAAGGTGGCCTTCGAGATCGCGGAGCGGCTGCCCCACCTTGGCCTGCGCATGAAGGAGCACTGCCGCAGGGCTCTGGCCTACGCGGAGCGGATGCAGAAGCTGGGGCTCAAGGTGGTCTACCCGGGTCTCCCCAGCCACCCGCAGCACGAGCTCTTCAAAACCATGGCCAACCCCGGCTACGGCTTCGGCGGGATGCTGTGCCTCGACATGGGCACCGAGGAGAAGGCCAACCGCCTCATGCACCACCTGCAGAACACCACCCAGTTCGGCCTCATGGCCGTCAGCCTCGGCTACTACGAGACGCTCATGTCCTGCTCCGGCAGCAGCACCAGCAGCGAGCTGAGCGCCGAGGAGAAGGAGCTCGCCGGCGTCTCCCCCGGCCTTGTGAGGATGTCCATCGGCTACAGCGGCACCCTGGAGCAGAGGTGGGCCCAGTTCGAGAAGGCTCTCAACTGGATGCAGGATGAATCTTGCTACCCCAAGAACTGAAGGTCCTCCCCTCCGCTCCCGTCCCGTTCGTTCCTCACCTTCAACTAGGATCATCTGTGGCAAAACTAGGATCAATTGTGGCACTGTGCATGCTTTCCCCTCTTCATTGTGCTGTCTGGATTATGTCATATAATTAATTTCTAGCGTGCTATTGGTTCTTCCCTGTTCATCATCCTCACCCAATGCAGCTCATTATAAAAAAAATGAAGAATATATCTATGTAAATGGGATGCTCCAGCGACCCCCACTAGCATGCCCATCGTTCAGGTGGGGTCTGCACGCGTTGGGAGGGAAAAGTCAGAGGGGAAGTTGAGAGCGAGAGATTCCGTGGATCCGGGAAGGATGACCCTCACGTGGAAGATGAAAAAGGGGACTCTTTTATTCTAGGTTGACTGTCGATTCTACCTACATCAAAAAGAGAATGAAAAGAAATAAAAGAGAGAACTTCGACAAGGAATTACAGAATTCTCGGCAGAGAATCAGAGAACGGTGATCAGCCTGTCGTTGAGAAACTTCCTACCCTCCACCCTTGTTACTTATAAGCGACTGCCAGCTGCATTGTACGTAATTCCCAAAATTACATATTTCCAAATTTCCTATATTTATTAATTCCTCTTGTTGCAGCTTCCTCCATATGGTTGACCTTTTTATTTTTGCACCTTGTCTGACGGAGCATGGTAATTATTAGTGGATCTTATTGATATTCTCACATGTGCCTTCAGGATCTAGCAAACTATCTCACTAAATTAAAATTTTAACATATAAGAATGTTGTTGAATATGAAGGATGTCATTCAAGTTGACTGCCCAAGTAATGTCCACATCTACAGTTAATGGTAGTACTGATTGTGGAAGAGGGCTCCTGATGGCATCTCGTAATTGTGAGACAGAAAACACTAGGTGAAGGCTTGCTCACAAGAAGGTGGGCAGCTCAAAGTAATAAATTTTGAAATATTAAATGGGCCAAAATAATAGGGGGAGAGCTTCTCACTAAACCTCCGTCCTAATGCATATAAGTGATACAACCATAGTCACAAGAAGATTGCATCTTCCACTACCAACTAGACATCCCAATGCTTTCTATGGACGTAAACTTTCACATGAGCTTGGGCTCGCCTTAAGCTACTCTTCAACTAATTGAGCACCTCGTCATGCTCTTGAAAGAGGCACTCCACCATATTTATTGATGTTTATGCATTCCTATAGGAAAGGAGAATTTAGGGTTGTTGTCCGCAGACAACTTTAAAGGAGGAGGGACTAGTAGATGAATTGAAGTCTAGTGTTTTACCAGAGTTATGCCCAATTGAATAATTTACTTGCTTATTTGGGTTGATCACTTGTGAAATATTAGAGATAATTTCTGACCCCCAATTTTCTATCTTTATTTGCCCATCAGTCTAAAGGTGGTATGCATTGTTGAGATTGGGCTAAGTTGTTTGACGTTCAAATAATTATTGTCATAAGAGGCTCATAAAAATTCAATTCGTGTTAAGGAAGATGAATGTCAAGAAATCGTAAAGAAAAATAATGTATTTAAGGAACACTTGTGCCACTTCTAAGGTTGAGAAATGATGTTTGAATGTTGAAAAATGCGCATGCTTACTAAAACAATCAATAAAAATTCATCGAAATATTTCAGCAACCCTTCAATAAAATTCTTATAAATGTGCTTGCATATTCACACCGAAATGTTAAGTGGCTGAAGCAAGTCAATCGACAATAAGGATTCTAATAAAAAATTAAGAGCTCACAGATCTATGTAGATAAGAACTTTCAATCAATGAAATAATGTTTTCATTTATGTACTATGTGAACTAGAACCAATAATTCATACTTACAGACTAATTTGAGGCAGTTGGGTGTCAAGAGAGTTTGGTTGAAGAAGTCGATCAGGTGATGTTGTGCATAAAGATTATGTTGATAAAAGTCGACTCTAGAGACACTCAATTTCATCTCAAACATAATTAAAAAAATTAGCTAACACAAGGATTGGGGCAATTGTGAGCACATGGGTAGAGAAATATTTCATTCACATCAACTCCCACAAGAAGGCATCATTCTTGAGTAGCTTGCAGAGAGGTTGAGCCATTGAGTCATATCCTTTGATAAAATGACGATAATAACTAGTTAGATTTAAAATATTCAAAGCTACTTCCAAATTATGGGTGGGACCCTATTAAAGACTATTAATTTTACTTTGTTCGACTTTCATGCTACAACTAGAAACCTAATTGTTGAGATATTCAATCATTTACTAACCAAACACGCACTTCTTCAAGTTGATGTGCAAATAGTGATACCAAAGTAAAGAAAAAAATTGACATAAGTGTCACTAGTGGTTTTTGTTTCTCAAATTAAAGATCAAGATGTTATCAAAGAAGATGATGACACATTAGTAGAGAAGCTCTATAGATATATGATCCACCAATACTTGGAAGGTCATTAATGTGTTACATAAGTTAAAAAGCATCACTAAAAATTCATAATGACCCTTGTAAGTATATAAGCCAGTCTTAAAAACATCATCTTCCTTGATTCAAAACTAGTGATATTCTAACTTCAAGTCAATATTTAAGAAGACAACATCTCTATGTAATTTGTTGACCAACTCTTTTACAATTAGAATTGAGAATCAATTTAATACTGTAATCTTGTTTAGTGTTAATTAGTTAATATAAATACCATGTTAAGTGGACTAGCTTAAGAAAGTTAAACCATTATAAACTATCGAGGCTAGAGTAAGCACTAGTCAAGTGTTCAATGATGTCGAAGCAACACATTTATGACAAGCTTTTCAATCTTGATTTTTTGAATTTAGGATAATGAAAAGATTTTACCTTGATTGGTGTTGAGGAAGCTTCTAATAGAATGTGTGGTTGATCTCTATGGGAGGCAGTCTACATATGTCAATAAAGATAAGATGGGATTTACTCACATAATTGTTCCCATCAGTGTACGTGTTGTGTCATGTTCTTTAATTGTATATGTGAGTTGAAAGAGCTTGATCATGGCTGGAGTCCTTTGTTATATAGTTCCTTGGAGAGTATCTAAAAGGAGATCTCCTTGAGTGCCAATGAAGCATTAACTTGTAACATGACTAATTATGAGATTCATCAAAGTCCCCATTCTTTTTTTCAAGTAAAAAAAAAAAACTTGTTTCATTGAATCTATTCATTTCATTCTCAATATGTTATTTGTGTTGGGTAAAGGTAGTAGTATAAATTCTTTGGCAATCATGAGTGTCTAGTATTTTAGCAACTCATTTTAATAGTGTTTGCTACTAGTGACTTAATCATTAGTTTTGATGGTGATCTTAAACTAATTAGTCTATATAACTGATAATTCTTTCTCCTACATAATCCTCCTAGAGACAAATTATGTGGTGCCCAAGTCAATCAAGATAATCACAACTCATCCTTAAAGAATTCAAGTGAATTTGAACATATGTTGTCGATCTTCTCCCAAGATGTGAGTTAACACTATGCTTGCACATATTTTATCATATACTTTTTCTAGTTGATTAATTCACCTTCATTGATGTAGATGACATAGACTTCTCATTTACAATGATGACTTGACCCATATTTCTCATTCTAGAAGAAACAAAGGCCTCAAGCTCACTTATTGTAATGAGATCATCTGATCGTAGGTGAGATCTTGATGCCACCCTTTATTGTCTTGTTATCAATACATGCCTTCAAAGATGGTGGACAATGAGCTGAGAATTTTGTGCATGATGTGAGAAGATGGATTCACCTAAAATAAATTCCTAGCCTTATTGCTAGACTTTTGTAGTTCTAAGTTCTTAATTTCAATCTTCTAAGTCATGCCCATGAGTGCCTTTAGACCTTGTGGCTTGATGAGGCTGACCTTGACTTGGATCTCCCACCATAGTCCTTTGACAAAAATCCTTACTACAATGCATCGATGCTTAATATTCAAGAAGCATTGATACAAGGAATTATCCCGATTGTCACTTAATCATTCTAGACTTTCTCACTAGATGCTCTCCCATGTTTGTCATGTTTGGAAGTTCTCTTGGTTCACCTCTCATTTGAGGCATAAGAGGGTTTTTCCTTTCAAGCTCATACTTGATGTCGAGAGTTTCTTTGCCGTTGTTAATTGGTGCACTAAGAAGTAAAGTTTGACTCTAAGGACCCATTTTTCTAGGTAGTCATTGTTGAAGATATACATCTCTATCTTCTATGTTCTACCACAATTTGTCATTGTTGGTTGTTGTGGAAGGAGCCGATATGAAATGTGGAGCATCCAACTAAATAGCCTCTTGTGTGGGTGAGTGATGTCATTGAAATAGAGATAGAGTGGCAAACTTGTAGTTGGACCCCTTTTAGAGCTAGGGAGAGGTAGAGAGTTGACTTGTTGTTGTAGGTCATCCAAGACATGTAATTATCACCAATTGTTAAGGTCTCACCTTATTCCATGCTAAGAGAAGTGTTAGATTACACCTAACACTAGGGAGAAATGTAAGTTAAGAAAAATCCTATGTTAACTGTCAACTCTCGAGCATACTCAAGTAACCCTCAATTACAACAAAAGGAAAATGAAAAGAAATTTTAGAGATAACTTCAATATAGAATTACATAATTCTTCACAAAATTAGATAATAGTGTTTGCTTTGAAAGGATCACTATTCTTTGTTACTTATTCTCTTGTTAAGAAACTCCCTACCCACCCTCCTCCTCCTCCCTTATTACTTATAAGTGGCTGCTAGTTGCCTTATATGCAATTTCATAACTTATATCTTAGCATTTTTTTATATTTTCTCTTATAATTATTTTTTTTTGTTGGATGACTTTCCCATTTTCTCCCCTTCCTTGTCTTGTGGAGCAATGTCCCTTCCTTGTGGAGTTGATTGAAGCAAGGATCGCATCAATCTCCATTAGTGTGAACGATTGTAAGATTATTTTTAAATAGATAACACAAGTTCAATTCAAATCCTTGCACTATAATTTATAATTATTTTATCGAGGAGGTGAAAGCAGTACAGAAAATGGAAGGAAGATTGAGGAGATATTAAAATAATTGGAATTGTTTACAATAAAGTCATGTTATTGGGTCATAATTAGATCCCTCTTGGTCCTGCCTCTCACAAATCCGATTATCTAATTCGTTTTGAGTCACCATGTTAGATCATCAATCAGATCTGCCCAGTAATTTTTTTCCTTGCATTATCAGGATTTTTTCGGAAATTTTTAAAATATTTTTTTTAAAATGAAATTTATTCAGAGTTTTTTTTTTCGACATTAAGGACCACCAGAAGAGCACCCGCTCTTTCTGGAGTTAAAATATTGGTGGAAATATTAATTAATTAATTAATTAATTAATTAATTAATTAATTTTTTTATTTCAGGTAATCTTTACTTACTAGTTTTTTAAAAAATAAGAAATGGTCAGTCGTGCTAAATTATGGATAGAATTCGTGCTCTGAAATTGGTCATTGATCCCGTCTGGTCTCCCTAAAACCGACCGGACCGGGCCGGCCGGTCCAACAGCCTTGGTTACGGAACAAAAAGAAGAGACCGCCCGGTAGGAGGTGGTGGTGTTTGGTAGAGGGGATTCAGCAGCATAAAAACCATGGGATTCTCGTCGACCATCCCCACCGCCTCCTCCTCTGCTGCCTTGCCGTCGGGCTCCTGGCGGCATCTCCAACTATCTACCACCACCCGGGTGTTTCTCCTCCGACCAGCCCCGTCTCCGGCGAAGGCCACCCCCTTGCTCATCCCAGTGCCGGGAGAGACGAGAGGACGCCCCGCCGCAGCGGCTCCGTTCGTCGGGGGTCAAGTTCGGTTCGGCTTCAGCAAGGTCTGCTCCCAGAAGATGGCGGGGGAAACCGCTCCTGCTGCAGGCGAATCCTTTGGAGCCGGGGAAGGCAAGCCGGAGCTGCTGGTGTTTGGTAGTGAGGAGGAGCTGTCGGTCTCGTTGGCTAAGTACACGGCAGAGCTCTCGGAGAAATATGCCCAGCAGAGGGGGGCCTTCTCCGTTGTTGTGTCTGGCGGCTCCCTCATTAAGTCTCTGAGGTAATTTCTGGATCTTAGATCGTGGTGTTCAATTGTTGTCTGATCGGTCGTTCCCATGGTGATATCTGCTTGTTGTGGTGTCGTTGATAGGAAGCTATTGGAATCTCCATATGTAGAATCAATTGACTGGAAAAAATGGCACGTCTTCTGGGTCGATGAACGGGTTGTGCCAAAGGATCACGCTGACAGCAACTATAAGCTTGCATATGATGGATTTCTTTCTAAGGTAGAGGAGAAATATGACAATCGTGGTCTAAGACATGTTTTCTGCTTTTCTTTGAAATTTATTTTGTACTTTTATATAATTAATTTAATTTTATGGAAACGTTGGAAGTTTTGACTATTAATATGTTTCTTCGAACAGTTTAAGTGCCGTGTTGAACTTGATGATTGTGTTCATGCTGATTCAGGTTAAATTTCATTGATTAGCCCCGTCACATTTCTTTTTCAATCCTTTGGCTTTTGGCTCAATTTTAGTTTCATAACGGGAAGATGCCAACTTCCTGGTACCCATTGCACTCATATTTTTTATGCATTTCATGGAATATGTCAGAAATTTGAAGAACCATGGCTAGCCGATTCATCCGCACATCATTTTAAATAAAAAGTCTGGAACAAAAGTAAGAAGTAGGTTATCATGGGGCTCAAATTTCTTTGATTATTCCATTGATTTTCATTGGCATCTTCTTTAAATTAGTTATGTTTAGCAATACGAGACTTGATAGTAGATAATGTTAGACATGAGGGAAAATAAGATATTGTTGGCATCTTATTCGAAGACAAGTAATTTTCTTTTTATCCATCTGGTTCGCTACTTGTTATTGATATTCACCAGGAAGGTTACATTTGTTGTATTATCCGATGTAGAATGCTTTCTTTTGTGTCAGACTAATCACGTAAACACAATAACAAAACCACCTGCTGTGGTTTATTTGGACTAGACTGCTCAAGGGCCGGACCTAGCCGCATTCCACCTAGTGTTTCCCTATATGAGGTAAAAAATAAAATCTCCTAGGTGCATTGCTGGTTTAAATTGAAATGAATCTTCAGAATTGAAAATCATCCCTTCTAATCGTCAAAATTAAGAATCTACTTAAAGACTCGATTTTCAAACCAAAAAAATGTCTCAATGGTTCCTTTGTTTCATTTTATCACGTAATGGGATCAACAGGAGTGAATAAACAGACTACAGGATTAGAAAGTATTTAGTGTATTTGTCTAGCATTCTTCATGAAACTAACTTCCAAGAAGTAATATTTTTTAAAATGCTCGAGTGAGTTTACCTTTTTGTTTGCCAAAATTTTGAAATCATTGCATCCCACGTAAACTATATATTCATTCATTTATAGCTTGCGATCACGTTGGCATTTGCTAATCAGTGAAATATGGTGATGATATATTTAATTTGGTATCCCATGAACTAAAATAATTTATCGTTCAATATAATTTTGTTTATGTGATTGGTGTTATGAAAGGATGCTTATTTGTACGTTCGTTGACAACCAGCCTTTTCGGGTAAGATTAGAATTAAGAAGTAGTTGATTTTATGTCAAGCTGAAGAAGCCATTATACATCCTGATGATGAATTTCATTGTAGCAAGAAATAGTCAAAAAAATAATAACGAATGTATGCCAGATGTGGAACTGTGTGGTACCATTAATGTTGGGAGCATGTATATATGATAGGGGTCTGAGTTGTGCCATCAAAAGACTACGATGCGATTCTCGTTTGACTTGATTTATTTAACTTGGCTTAGAAAAATTAAAATGTTAGTTCTTTAATTAACTAAATTTGATGAATTTATTTAAAGTAACAGGTGTTAATGTTTGTTCTTTAATTAAATTATGATTCCATGCAGAATTTGGATGAATCTTTGTTCGTCCACTGGTTTTTATAACAGTGGGAAAATTTTGACGGAAAAATCTCTTTTTGTTTATCTAATTGCCAGGTACCGATACCTCCTGGACAGGTTTATGCAATCAATGATTCACTTTCTGCTGAAGGTGCTGCGGATGATTATGAGACTTGCTTGAAGCAGCTGGTTAAAACAAGTATTCTAGGGTTTTCCTCAACCACCAGTTTTCCACGGTTTGATCTTATGCTTTTAGGAATGGGCCCTGATGGTCATGTAGCATCCCTCTTCCCAAGTCATCCTCTTGTTCATGAGAATTCTAGGTGGGTTACCTTCATAAAAGACTCACCAAAGCCACCCCCAGAGAGAATAACTTTCACATTCCCAGTGATAAATTCATCTGCCAATATTGCACTAGTTGCCACGGGATCTGGCAAAGCTGGTCCTGTGCAGAGAGCTCTAGGGACTGGATACAATTCTTCTGACTTGCTACCTGTTCAAATGGTTTCACTTGTGGATGGAAAAATGACTTGGTTTACTGACAAGGAGGCTGCCTCAAAGTTGCACGGGGATGCTTTACTCTGATTGTGTAAGTTTCCAAATTTTATTTAGTATAAATAGTTCAACTGTCATTTTGGTGATATATCATTTTCTGCTCAGAAAATTCTATCATATCTATGATTTGAATTCAGGATTTATTTATTTCTAAAGCTTTTTATGCCTTTCACTTATTATAAGTAGGCATGATGTGGTAAAAACTTTTATTATTTTGGCCGTTTTGGGGCTTGTCCAGGATTATAAGAATACAAATTGATCAGATGTACCCTTTTGAAAATGTGTCTTTCAAAGTTAACGGAAGGGTTCCTATAAAGCACCAACTCGCATTTGATCCCAGTCCGAAAGATTTTTATGTTGTACTGAGTCGGATAAAATGTAACCATTGTTTTCTTCCTACTTTCAGAATATGTAGACGTTGTAATCCTGTGTAAAAAAGATTACTGGATAGGAAAGGCATATCTAAGTAAATTTCAGTTTGAAGTAGCTGAAATATTGAAGTGGGTAATCTAAAAAGCGAGAAAAATGATTAGTTAGGATTGAGAGGGCCTTAATTTTTAGCCTTTGGCTGATGAACTCCCTTTTTTTCTTCTCCAGAGTAAGTAGAGAGTTTTGCAATAGCAACTGATGTGGGATTTAATCAGGGTTTTAGAAAGAGATAAGTCCACTCTGTGGACTTGTTTTTAGGGTTTGGCGGAGGTTGAGTTTAAGAATTGAGGATTTGTGGATGGAATATTTCCAGAAGTATTATGCATGAAGAGGGAATAACGGTGCAAGGAGAAGGAAGATGCCACTGGAGTTGTTCAAGAGAAGAGTTATGAAAGTCAACCAAATATAAGCACAAGAATGTAGGTTGATCTTCTCTAACTCCTAAAATTGCTTTGATTGTTGTGTTTGACAAAAGACATTCCTTTGCCAATAGACATTCAATGAATTGCCAGGGCATCAAACATTGCCCTGTATATCCTATAAACTGATATATCCCAGCTTGGTGAGAGAGTATACGTTAACCTATATATCCTATGGGAACAGAATTATGTATGGTGTAGAATCAGGTACAATGATTCTTTAGCTTCTGGGGAACGTTAAACTTGAGTATTGTAATGTGCCATTTGAGAGTTATTGAGTCATCCAACTTAAAACCAATTGACAATGAATGGATTATAGCAATGTGCCATGTTAGGAGTTCTATTATAGAATAATCAACTCAGTAATATTCCTAGCATCACATTCTCAGCATGAGGTTGGGTGTTGATCTGGTTTTTTACTTGTCTTTTTAATTATGGCCATTGCCTTGTAGGGCATATATATGTTAGTATGAATGGGTTGACTAGGATGGAGAAGCTAAGTGCTTGGGCCAATGCGTTCCAACATTAACATCTCTTATGCATGATTCACCTCATTGATGACACTCTTTTAGAAAGTATGCCATTAGAGGATTCTGTGATTCTTTTGTGGGAAAAAGATAGAAGGTCCTCTGAGAATGTGAAGAAGTAGAATGAATGCAAGAAATTACCTCGATTATGGGACCTTTCTTATCAGAAAGGAATATTATGGGATTTCGCTAAAAAATTATTTTTTGGTTAATAAAAAGTAAATATATGATTATAAACACGTGCAACACGTGCCTACCTTAGTCATTACCCAAAGAACTTAGAAATAGTCAGGATATGATGCGTCTTTTTTATTTTTTATTAAAATATCACATGGAATTTCTTTTCCCCACATGGAATTTCAAGTCTCAGGTAGTCTTGTGGTGAATTTTTTCATGGTCTATGACCACTTTGCACGAACAGGGTCTCTTCTGCTTCATATGCACTTACGCTCTATCTCTTTTTAAATAGTCAGGATATGATACGTTTTTCCTCTTTTCTTTCCTTATATTTATAGTATGCTCTTGCGATCCAGGAATTTGATTTGAGGATCGTTGAATATTGATCATCAAGAAATTCAATCGAGTATTTTAAGCTTGAGACACTTATGGAGCGGATTTGGGACATTAACAGGTTTTTATCTCTCTATTTGGAGGGGAAAAAAACTGCTATTATTCGCAATAACATTATGACAAAGATATATGGCACGCCATGAATAAATGTTCTTCATGATGTCACTTGCCTCTATCCATGTAATGATCTTTTGGTAACCGTTAAGTGTTATGACTATTTGTTTCTCATTTTGGTTACTCTTATACTTTTGGAATGTTAAAATAATTGGCAATTAGTAAAGTAGGTTTACCCATGTGGTACTATTCCTAGCACACACACACACACACACACACACACACACACACACACAAGGAGAAATATTTTTCATAGTTTAGGTTATGTAGGCACCATAAATAGATTGCATGCAACTTATGAGCAATTATCATCTAATACCATGTTGAAGCATTTTGTTATCCAATCCAAAACTAGTTGATTATGACTACGTTTGTCCATCCAGTTTCAGAGCTTTATTTATTGCCTGTGTGATTGTCCTAAGAAAGTGAGAAGGTGCAAGATCTCTAGCTCTTGCAAGCAGCCGAAAAAGGTTGACTTTTTTTCCGGATGGTGTATTTGTTGCCAATTTCTTAGAGCATGGGCCATTTTAGGATCTAAAAAGTTTGAAAGTGGGTAAGAAGCTTTAGTCAAAACTTATCCACGTTGGATGATTTTGCCCGAAGTAGTTGGGAAGCATTATCATCAAGAACAGACTAAGATTCTGTTCATTTCACTACCCCATTAATATCAGATGGGTTTACAGTGAAGAGCATGGGACAAGTCAGCTGATTGGCTCGCAAATCCAAGGCTTTTATTTTACTGAAATGGGTAATGCATGTGTAATTGATATTTGTGTGATATGATGAATTACCCAAAATAGCAAGCTTTGATCATATGTATTTACATACTTCTCAAGAGGTAAAATGCTTTAAAAATCATTTCATCCAACGTAAGGGTGCAAAAATTATGTTGTAAGGTGTGTATTCAAGAAGAAAAATAGCTAGGGATCTATGCTGGATTTCCCCCCACTGCGCACTGTTTAGTTGTGGCGGCTGACTGTGCCCCACCCCCTGTCACGGGTCAGCGAGTACCCCCCGAACCCTCGCCGGCGGCGGAGGGCGCGGAGGCATGGGAGAGAGAGAGAGAGGGCCAGTGACCGATCAGGGATCGGCAGTGATGTTAGTAGATTTTATAGAAACGTCATGGCCACTTCAATTCATAACAACGGAGATCACGTCCTTCCTTTGATTGATCAATCGATGGGCATTCCGACGGATTCATCAGCTGCGAAGAATAACATCTCATGGCGGAGCTGCTTCTTCATTGCTGAGGAAGGAAGCTGAGGGAGTGAGTGATCCTCTCCGAGGGGGGGGGATTTCAGGCTACTCGGTGGTGTATGCGAGTAATGAGTGACATAGTTGATGCAAAATTATCTACTAATACGCCCACAAGCTGTTGGGTCGATCTGTTTCCCTTCTCTTATCATAATCAATCCGAATTTTATTAAGATGAGCAGAGTGATTCGAAGGACTTGCTCCTAAACAATCCCGTTTTGGTAATTATTACTTCATATCCCGACTTCTAGTACTCTCCCTCTCTCTCTTTTTCTCCACCGCAAGGGAGATCTCGCTCATGTCAAGAGAGAGAAAGAGAGAGAGAGAGAGAGAGAGAGAGAGAGAGAGAGAGTCGTGCTACTTTTCTTCGCTGTTCTATTCCGTGTCTCCTCGACGTCGATCCCGGGCACAAGCGCGTTCAGACATCATCTACGCCGCAAATCTGGATTTCACGTGTTATTCCCCATGAAGTATGGTAATTGTTCTCCAGCTCCGACATCTGGGCTGCCGCAACTGGTGATGAACGATGGGGAGATACCATGTGTGTCGCCAAATAGTCGCGTGGTGATTGCGCGCTTTATTTTTCGACTGGATTCTACCCTCATGAACATAAACGATCGACTGGTTTGAATGCTAAATAGAGGCAAAGACCGCGTCTTAAACCTCGTTGCACGCAGAGAGAGAGAGAGGCTGTGGGCGTCTATGCATGAGGAAACCGGGCTACAGTATGTTTGCGTTAGAGAGAGGATAGCGGGGTTAGAGCGAGAAATAGTCCCCCTCCAGGTCTCTTAACACCAGGCAATCTCTCTTAACACTTCTGACGAGAATCCACTCTCATCGGGAGATAGAAAGATCTTCAAATCCTAGGTTTCGCAAGGGGGCCTCCCTCCCCCCTACGAGAACGGAAAACAAGGAGACGGGCGGCAGGCGCCGATCACCGTAGGCGTAGACGTAGACCCATCTAAGCTTATTTCCCGGGGCCTCAAGCTTACCGTCGAATCGATAAACAAACACCTCATGTGGGTCATTCCACGGGAAGCGAAAAGCGAGAACAGGAGCTCTCCATCGGTCGTCGTCTCTTCTTCCTTTTCAACAACTCCACAGCCTTTGTTTCGTCCCTCTGCGGAGGGAAGGGATAGGCGACGAATACAAAATAGCGAGACCGGCAGGCTAGGCGGGGCGATGTGAACTCCGTGGAATCGGTGCAAGGAAGAGGGGCCAAGGGGGAAGAGGACGACGTTGTTTCTTGTATGTTTTATTCGTATCATGCGCAATTATAATATTACGCAGCGCGTGAGAGTATTTTATGGATGCTATCAGGAGGGCGTTTTATGTATTCGGCAAGCTGTCTGTCTCGTGGACTTGACATGTTACGTGTTGTTCCCTTTCAACCCTACTGCTTCTGGTCTCTCTCTTTCTCACTTTTTCTTGTTTATTTTTTTATTGTGGTGCCTCGGGGGAGTCGTCTCTCGTCTCTCTCGCTCTGCCCTTCTTCTTTGTCGCGCAGTGACATTTGAGATGGCGTAGGGAGGGAGGTAGATAGAGAGACAGAGAGAGGAGAGAGTGAATGAGATTTTGTTTGTAAGAGGGAGAGAAAATTCCTCCCTTTTCTGTGAGAGGAGCAGAGAGAGACGTGTGCGCTAATTTGAGAGAAAATTGGGAAGGGGGGGGGAGGGGAGAGAGAGAGAGAGGACTGGGGAGAAAGACGATGGGAGAG